TAACAAACCCTCTTTAAGATATGTCACTCGAGTTACAATCTTGGAGTATGCTCTAAGAATTGTTTTGGAACGAAGTATGACTCATCTTTTTAATTTAACCATTTCAACAATTCACGACTCCTCTTCTTAGTCATAAGAGTGCACTAAGATGACTTTAGAGGACCAACTATGATATGGTATCTTAATCATTACGATGATCATAAACATGATACTAAAGTACTCTTCCATATTTTCATATTTGAGAAACTTTTATCTTTCTGCCATACTTTGATTCTTCTTATTCGTTCTGTCTCACATTAAATCTTCTCCAATGCTACAGACTTATACTTAAACTTATAAGTATAACCATATTTACTGAACTTAAGTAAATCATGAAGAATAGTCTTCTTGATCTTTTGTGGTGGACTTAACCAGTGCACAAGAATGTGTAACCATATTTACAGACTTATACTTCAACTTATAAGTATAACCATATTTACTAAACTTAAGTAAATCATGACGAATAGTCTTCTTGATATTTTGTGGTGGACTTGACCAGTGCACAAGAATGTATACTCGATCCCTTAGTCCTTTCCTTATTCACATAAGGAATTAGTCTTAATTTTCCAAGCTGAAAGCTCTCATTCATCATATTATACAACTTGCATGATTCCAAGTTTCGGTCCAATTGAACCTTGGGTGATGAGAATCTTTCCTTATTTGGTAATATTAGACACTACCACAACTGAAAGAATCAAATCCATTTTTCCAATATTGCTATCAATAGAATCTTATAAGCAATAATTTTTCACAAATGTCATTGTAAGGATACTTAAAATAAATAAAATCAAAACCTTTTTCTTTTATTTTAAAACTTTGCGGAAAAACTTATCCTTACAATCCATATGAAAACCTTGTTGTTATCTATTCCTAAGCAATATAAATATCATAACTCTTAAGTAATAGCCCAAAATTCTGATCACCGAATCATGCGATTGAAATCCATCTTCGCGATCAAAATCAACATGTTGTTAATAGAGTTAGACAATGGACTTTACCTGAAGTAGAGCCAAACTTATTGACTTTAACATCCTTAGGTAAATTTGGCAGCTTCGCAACCAATGCCCTTTCCTTTAGCAATAGCTAACTACGGACCATTGATAATGGGACTATCTCAGACTTAGCCTCTCTCTTTACCATTTGGTCAACCGAGTTGACTATGGCCGATCCCTTTCCATTAGGAAGAGAGAGCTTTACTGGATATCTAATGTCATCATTGTCAATGTCCACAACGTTTTAGGAAGTTGATCTTAGCAAATAGATAAGATCATTAAGGGTCTTGTATTAGTCTGTTTCATAGTATTCCCAAAAGATCTCACTATGTGACTTAGAAAGTAGTTGAGCCACCAACTTTCTCAAGACTTTGACACCCAACTCTCCCGGCTTGTCAATATGTGACTACATCTCCAAGATGTGATCACACCTAGACCTTGCCTTGCTAATAGGGCTTGAGTGACCTTAAACTTTTTAGGAACTTGTGGGTTAGGGAGAATAATTGGAGGAGGTGAAAGAAGTATGATATCCATGGGACATCATCTTTATTTAGGAAAGCTTGTTTCAAGAGATTTGGGAAGATCATAAATGTCTAGACCAAACATCTTTTTGGGAGATATTCAAGATAGTTGATTTAAAGTCCTTAAGATGACACCCAATATGAAATATTAAGGCTAGGACCCAACAAACTATTTTATAACTTAGAAGAGGGATGCCGTAATCCAAACTATAAAATATTTGAAGGTAGGTGAATGACGATTCACCAATTTCCACCATGAAAAATGAAATAATTTATTAGGTTTTAATTGGATTTGAAACTCCTAGATCTTTTAGATTCATTGAACTGTTCAAAGACATGTTTTAATCTCGAGTGTGCCCTTCAAGTTTTGTGATTGAGATGCCGAGGATCACCAAAAAAGGTGTGAAGAACCATGCAAATATACTTGGTACCCTTAATATTTACCCCTTAATCAGTGTGCCGGTTAACCACAAACGCTCCACCGATACTATGATAAATATTAAGTTACCCTTTACCTACCTTGTTAAGTCCAGGTTAGTGTGTCGGTTCACACACGCTCCACTAATGACTTAAGCAAAGTGCAAAGTGTAATTTCATGGGTTAGCACCAAATTCACATTTTCCTAAGTAACTAAGATTGGGTATTAATAAGAGTTTAGTTACTTAGTATTTATAATTAATATTTTTAATGAAAGGAGAATTATAGTCCTTGTCCTACCCCCGGCTAACGATCCTCCACCAGTCAAGGAAGCGGTGGGTGAGAGTGGACACCCATTAAACTACCATTTTATAGGCAGTAACCTTATACCCCCCTTATAGACCGGCTTCGTGAATGAGGCCTACTAACGGTAAGACCGACTTTACTCTTATACATATATATAAATATTATTAACTTATAATATTATAAAGTATAAGGGTTGAATTTTAACTTTTAAAATTCTAAGGGCTAACTTGGAATTAAAGTATTCATAAGTGAAACTTTTCAAATTCCAAAACTTGAGGGCAAGTTTTGAAACTATTCAAAACTAATTAATTTCATAACTTATGAGTTTAAAGTAGTTTTAATTAAAAAACTCTTCAAGTTCCATAACTTGAGGACAAGTTATAGAAGACTGTAAACTAATTAATAAAAAAAATAACTTTTTTTTATTGTAACTTATAGAACTAATTAAGGTTACACTTTTTATTTATTTATTAGTTAATGAAGAGACTCTTGAACCTCCATAATTTGAGGAGAAGTTATGGAGTCATATAACCATTTAATTAGAACTAGACTCTTCATTTTGTAACCTTTGCCAACTTTTATGAGTTTTATGATTCTTAAATGTGACTTTTCATATAACTTGAGGACAAGTTACAAAAACACACTTTAGTATCAACTCTTAGATTAAAATGGATTAAAAACAACTATTTCGCACAACTTTTCTATTAATCTAAGAACCTCATAAGAACAAGATAATTCAAATCATCAATCTTCAAGAAATTAGCATGAACATACAAACTAATTCAAATCTTAAAATTATGACAATTATCTTAGAAATTGGATTAGCATGAACATTACCACATCAAAAACAAGTTTATAAGTCCAAAAACATCTTAGGGTAATGTTCCTAGTCCAATTCCAGCCAAAACAATCGAATATATGCTGTCAGGGGGTCCAACTCGTCGAGTGCACGAACCAACTCGGCGAGTTGGATGCATTTTTCCTTGGACTTGGCGAGTCCATTCATGGACTCGCTGAGTCTGCTATGCAGACAACATCAAAACTCGATTTTTCAGCTACTTTTGCAAGTATAACAAGAAAACAAGCCTATGCTCTGATACCACTGTAGGGTTATGAGCATTCTAACACTCCTAAGTGTACATGCAACCCTAAATACCTTGGATCTATGTTTTCTCTATTATACATACAATTATGATCATCCAAGATATTATCCTAATCTAGCATACAAAATAATGAATATAACAAGATAGAATACATACCTCTTTGATGTAGAATGTCTTCATGAAGCTTGAGTGCCTAGTGCCACAAGTGTGACACCTCAAATGGTTCACACAACACCAAATACACTTGGAATAACTTGAGAGAAACTTGAACACTCCTTGAAATCGTCTAGCCCTTACACTCACACATAGTGCACAATTTCTTAAGCCATGGGATTCTTTTATATGGTGGCTATTAGGGTTACTCCATGTAACTCATAACTTTACCCATTCCTTAAGCTCCATGAATTTTAACCTCCATGGAGTATCCATGGGTCACCCCATGGACTTAGTCCAACATAAGGAATCTTGGATCATAAGCCCGCATATATAAGAATGAATGATTTACACAATCAACACATATATTTAATTAGTCTCCTTTTGATCACTTAATTAATTCCAAATTAATTCTTGATCAATACTAATTAAATAACCTTATTAATATATTAGAACTCATAATATATTAACCAACTTTAAGTGTTATTCTCTCGTTTAAAGTCTATCCAAATGCATGATGCCATGCAACCCAAATAGACCATGTCGGGTCGGGTCAAGTCTTACCAATTATAGTTATGGACTTAGACATTAATCCAACAATATCATGAGAAGAAACCTACAAAGGACCCATCTACAATCTCAATCCAACCATCTCCGATATATATATATATATATATATATATATATATATATATATATATATATATATATATATATATATATATATATATATATATATATATATATATATATATAATGAGAATAAATAAAGTATATAAAAAACAAAAATTAAATTTAAAAACTGTATGGTTTGATTTTTTGCAAACTACATGGACCAAATTTGAACTTTAAACCCAGTTGTAGGACTGATTTTGCAAAAAAGATAACATACTGACTAGAGTAATAATTCTGCGAAAAAGTTGTGACCATAACATTAATTTAAAAAATTGTTATGACTTTTTTCAATTACCTTAAAAAGTTAGGAATTTTGTGAGAGGAAAATGACTTACGAGTCCAACGAAGTTTCCAAACCGTTCAAAAACTCTAATTATGTTGGGTGTATTAAACAAATCCAACAAACTTAACATTTTGTCTAAAAAAATAAGTTTTCAAACCGTTCAATAAACCTCAATCATGTTTTGTTTCAAAACATGAAGTTCGTTTGGTTTTTTTAAACAGACAAAACATGATTAGAATTTTTTTGAACGGTTTGGAAACTTTGTTAGTCTGATAAATTATTTTCTCAATATGATAATAAATCACATCATCTATTTCTCTTATTTGACTTCCATAAAATTAAACAAAAATTAAACTTAATTGAACTTTTTATATAAAGTTAAGTTTATTGAAAAAAAAAACATAACTAAAAATTTTAAAACGGTTTGAAAATCTGGTTCGACTCATATCTCATTTTCTCTTTTATGAACCGAAAAAAAATAATAATAAGTAAATAAATTATTTCGGTATATATTTAATGGACGGAGGTACTCCACAATTCTCGGATCAACGACCAACCACCGCCGCAATTAGAAATTTTAGTTTTCATTCCCGCCATGGATCTCCTTCATTGCTCAAGGCTGCAAAACCCTATTTCTAAATTACTACAACCTCACACTCGATTCACTGTACACTCAACTTCGTCGTCATTGTGTCTCCGGCGATTCAGCGTGAGGTATCCTCCACTCGATTCTTATCACTCTCGTAATTAACGCCACTCTGTTTCTACCCCAAAATTTAGGGTTCCAATTGATGGAACCTTTACTTATTTTTGCTTTGTGCAGATCGAGTCTTCCTTCCCCGGCTCAGAATGCCAAGTATAACAGAGAGCTAAGTGCTGCTGTGGATTCGGTCGAGCGGGCTTGCCGTCTCTGTGTTGACGTAAGTTTCACCATTAATACCATTTTCTACCCTTTGCTTCATTTCAGCTCAATCTAAAGTGTTACATGTAGACATGTTGCATCTAGTACTTTACAACTTCAAATTGGTATAGTTTTATTATTAATTTTCGAACTACATAGTTAAATTTGTAGTTATGTTATAAAGTTAGATGTAACTATCATTTTTATAAACAAACAACAATCTATGAAATTTTTAGAGGTGAAATGTGACATTTGATTTGAGAAAGAAAGTATCTTTCTTTTTGAACGTATACAACATAAAACTGTGTTATGTTGTATCTTTTTGAATTCTCATCATGATTAATATGACCATCTTGATTGTGTAGGATAAATCTTATTCATCAAAGTTGTTTAGATGGAAACAATTCATATTCCTCAATATAACTCAAAAGTTGTCTAGTAGCTTGTTTTCTCATATGATACTTCAAAAGCCTTGCATTTTACATGTCAGGAATCTTCAATTTTGCAATTTTATGATATTTAAGTGATTATGATCGATGTCAACATGATTGAAATTTTTTAATTAAGCTATCAAAAACGGGAATTATATTTCAATGGCTTTAGACATCATATTCTGTCTGATTCAGGTGAAGCGATCTTTATTCACAAGTGATGGAAAGATTCTTGAAAAAAATGACCAGACACCTGTCACCATTGCAGATTTTGGAGTTCAAGCTCTAATTAGCTTGGGTATAAAATCTTGATTCTTAAATTTCTTTTCCCACTTCCTTTTCATCTTCATCATACAAAATACTCAAAACAGCCCTAGAAAGCTTACTTTTTAGTGTGGATTTACTTTTCATAATCATTACAGAGCTCGGGAAATTATTTCCTTCCATTCCATTAGTGGCTGAAGAGGACTCAGCATTCTTACGTTCAAATAATCTTGTAGACTCTGTTGTAAATGTGGTTATTGATAAATCAAGCTCCAAAGATAAAGAATTAACTGAAACTAATGTACTTGAAGCTATTGATAGAGGAGGAACATTTGGACCTAATCCAGCCACATATTGGGTGTGTTAATTGTTATGCAGTTTCTATCATATATTATAGCTAAAACATTCAGTCACTTAATCATATGAATGTGTTTCATACAGATTCTAGATCCTATAGATGGCACACGTGGATTCCTCAAGGGTAATGAGTCCTTATATGTGGTAAGCTTAAGTTTTCTTAATAAATAAATACAAGAAACAGAATCATAAATCCATCAATTTGATCATAATAAGCATAATGCTCTCAACATTACAGGTAGGTTTAGCACTTGTGGTTGAAGGACAGATTGTTTTAGGAGTTATGGGATGCCCTAACTGGAAGGACAATAAATCAGACAATGACAAATATACCCCTGGGTCAGGAATAATTATGGTTGCACATATTGGCTGTGGAACATGGTCAAAGGCACTATCTGGGGTAGCTCTTAACTGGTACAGATGCTTAGTTGATGACAATAATTTAGTTCATAAAGGACGCTTTTGCATTTCAGAAAGCCAAACATGGGATTCATTGCCATTATCATCTTCATTTAGTTCATCAATCAATGTGGACAATATTGGAAATAATGAAGTTCTTCTCTTGCCTACGTGTTGCGGAAGGTCCACTTACTTCTTTTACAGTATCAGTATCAGTATCAGTATCAGTAATGAAAATGGTGTTAATATATTTTTTGGGATTTTGTATTCAGTTTATGCAAGTATTTGATGGTAGCTTCTGGGAGGGCATCTGTGTTTATTCAACGTGCAAGGGCTGAAAGAGTGATCAAGGTATGAGTTTATGACACTAAGGTGCTGTTTTTGTTAATGAGGAGAAAGACTTAATCCAATAAGCTATTTATGAGAGTTTGTTTTTTGACTTAATGTGGCCTTATTTACTAAAGTTGGGTTCTTTCTGTGGGAAAATAAGGTTTGGGATCATGCTGTTGGAGTGATATGTGTGCAAGAAGCGGGAGGAAAGGTAATAAAGTTGATTTCTTTTATAAATAAAATTGAGTGGATTTTGTTGTTGAGTGAATTAAATGTTACAGGTTACAGATTGGAATGGAGATGAACTTGATCTTGCTGAAGATGAAGTTGAGAGGAAAGCGATATTTCCGCCAGGTGGCATTCTTGTGTCGAATAGCGGCTTACATGAAGAGATACTTGAGATCATTGCTTCCAATTCAGCAATTATTTCATGACATATGGAAAGGAAAATTTATTGTTTTGTATTTTCTCATTGTTCTTTTTGGTACGTGTAATATACGATAAGGAAAGTATATCAAATTGTTGTTGTATGAAAGAGTGAAAAAGAAAATTATAGACAAAATTGCAAGAATGGTCCCTGTGGTATATCCAAAATTGCTACTTTGGGCCAAACAGGTTTGGACTAGCAGCAATAGTCCAAAAGTTTTCATTTTGCTGCGGTTTTGGTCCAAAACAGTCTAAAATTTTTAAAAATGATGGATTTGCCCTTTTCCATTTGTTTTTTGCTTTTCTTTTTATTATTTAATTATTCGATAAATAAAAAAAATAAAAAATAAATCAAATAAAATAAAATCTCTCTCTCCTCTCTCTCTCTCTCTCTCTCTCTCTCTCTCATCACCATCTTCGATCAGTGGCACCATTCCACATCCACTAAACACAAATGTTGGTGACTTTTGCACCACCTCGCTCCTTCTCAAATACGTCGACCACCACCGGTGGTAATCAGCCCAACATCGCCGGAAAAATCGAGCATTGAGAATGGAGATGAAGCTCAAAGAAGAAGGAAACAGAGAGTATCAACAGATCGAGGAAGGGCAAAAAAAGAAGCGGTGACAAAGTTTTGACTTCCAGCATCGATGTAAGGTGTTACCCAAATATGTTCGTTGTGAGATTTTCTTCTGAAACCCTAAACGACGTCTAAAACCCTAGAAACTAGAAGGGTGGCGGTTGAAACCCTAATTTGTGAAGATCCTCGAATCACCTATCTATAACAACAACTTATGAAGAATCAGAATAGATCAGGTAGCGGAGGAATAATGTTTGGAGGAGGTGCTTACGAACGATGTGATGGTAGGTGAAGGGATAGGTGTTTGCTGGTGCTACACGACCGAAAGGGAGGCAGAGAGGGGTTGCATAGGTGGTGGTCGAAAACTTTCTTTCTTCGCCAATGAACTGAACAGTAGTATCAAATTAGAAATCAGACCCCTCCCCCTTCGATTCTCAGAATCCATTTGACAAACACACTCACCCAAAGTGGTACCCTCTTTCTCCTTCTTCTATACTCGATGATAGCTCTCATTTTTCTACTTTCTGAATCGATGGCAACCCCTTTTTTTTTTTTTTTTTTTTTTTTTTTTTTTTTTTTTACATTTCTAGTTGTTAGGGATGGTGGTAATGGAGGGATAAGGGAGGTCTTGGGTGATTGAAGGTGACATTGGGTGGTGTAGGGTTATGAGTGTGTTTGTGTATGGTTTTTTATGAGTGTATTTGTTTTGTTTTTGTGTATGGTTTTTGTTTTTAGGATGTTTTTTAGATGGATATGAAGTGGTAGAAATAATTTAAGTGGAGATGGAGCTGACATACAGCGGTGGTGGCAGGCTATTGTGGTGGCAAACGGTGGTCGGCCGGTGGCAGTGTTAGAAGATGTTCTTGAGTGTTCATTAAGATGTTCTTGAGTGTTCTTAAGATTATGAAGATGTTCTTGATAGATAAACCCAAATGGAGAGAGAGAGAGAGAGAGAGAGAGAGAGAGAGAGAGAGAGAGAGAGAGAGAGAGATTTTATTTTATTTGATTTATTTTTTATTTTTTTATTTATCGAATAATTAAATAATAAAAAGAAAAGCAAAAAACAAATGGAAAAGGGCAAATCCGTCATTTTTAAAAAATTTAGACTGTTTTTGACCAAAACCGCAGTAAAATGAAAACTTTTGGACTATTGCTGCTAGTCCAAACCTGTTTGGCCCAAAGTAGCAATTTTGGATATACCACAGGAACCATTCTTGCAATTTTGTCAAAATTATAATCTAATTTTTTTTTTGAGTAAAATAATGTGTGATATGTGTATTAATTGCCCAATCACATGCATTTCTTATTTTTTATTTCGAAAACTGAGATAAAATATGCATGTTTATTGGAAAGTGATTACATCAAGAGAATAATAAGTACATTATATGAGTAGGAAAAGGAGTTGTAGTCCAATATATGTTTGGTTTTCAAATAGTAATTTAATATAGGGCAAATTTCAAAAAATCCTTACCTTACATTTTTCTATTTTTTTTTTCAAGAAAAGCTTTTATGGTATATTGGGCAATAGGCCTGGCAATCGTGTCGTGTTCGGGTTGACGTATCGCGGGTTGACGTGTTGGCGGGTCAAAATATGCCAACCCAAACACGACCCATTTAACTATACAGGTCACGGGTTGGCGGGTTTGAAACATAAACTCATATATGACCCACCAACCCATTTATTTATACAGGTTCACAAGTTGGCGGGTTCATGGGTCATATTTGGGTTCGTAGGTCCAAATTTTAGATATTTAAGTCTTAAACATCCAAATTAAAATTAAAAACATGTTACAGACTTAGCCCTATAAGTTACGACTTATGACCTTAGATCATCCACCACGAATAATAATGTCCAAACAATCAAATGGTCTATTAATAAATTGTATATATTATATAATACTTATTAAATATTAATACTTGATAAATAAATACATTTAAAAATATAATTTTTTTTATTAAGAATATAAACGGGTTGGCGGGTCAACCCGTTTATTTTTTGAGAAACCCATATATGACCCGTTTAATAAATGGGTTGGCGGGTTGACGGGTTAGTGGGTTGGCGGGTTGAAAAACTCAACCCAAACCCATTTATTTCGTGTCGTGTCGAGAATTGCCAGCCCTATTAGGCAGCGTGTTTTAGAAAATTTTTAGAAGCTTTTCGCTTTTGACTTGAAGTAAAATCTCGAATTAAAGAAAAGGCCATGATTGGAAATAGGAACTTAAAGCTTTTATTTAAAATAAAAGGTTGATAATCCAAAAATTAATTCAAGTGGCTTTCACGAATTTTAGCTTTTAGATTTTTTACGTTATTTTATACCCTTCAAAAGTTTATAACTACTTTTGTCTAATATTTCTATACAAATAAAAGTTATAACTTACGACGTTCAGCTTTCAGCTAGTTTTGTCAAATATATATATATATATATATATATATATATATATATATATATATATATATATATATATATATATATATATATATATATATATATATATATTTGGCCTTACTTGCTAAACCACAATTTTTTTTTTCTTCATTTAAGCCATTAGTTACTTACTAAAATATGTTAGCATGTTATAAATGTCTACTCCTACTCCAAAATAGTCCAAAACAACCCAATATGATGTAATATTGATCGGAAATTATTATTAAAATGTGTAACCTGTTAATCAATTCTAGTAGGTAATAATAGCTAAAATGTTAAGGATTCACATTATCAGTACGTGCTTAGGTTTCTCTGTAAAAAAAAAAAATTTAATCTTCAAGTAAAATGCTAAAAATGCAAGGGTTTTTTGAAAATTTTCATTTAATTTTTTTCAAACATCTGTCATATATTAAAAACCGTAAAATACCTATAGACGTCAGAAAAGATACAAAAAAAAAAAAGTGAAGACATCAACATTGAATTACACATCCTACAGATTCCATTTTTTTTTTCTAGCCTTAGTGTTTCTAAACGCAAACCAATTAAAAGAAAGTACGATGATATTATCAACAATATTTTCCAATTTGTCATTTAATATTAAAAATGTGATATCTTATATTTGACTAATTACATAGTTTAATAGAAGAAAGTCTTAGGATAAAGAATCAATAAACACACAACACACATCAATTTAAAGACGTGAAGAAAAAAATAAAAACACAAGGATTTAAAGTGGTTAACTCAAGTAGAGCAATCAAGCTAATATAAGGATTTAAAGTGGTTAACTCAAGTAGAGCAATCAAGCTAATATATGGACGAACTAGAGAGAGATGTAAGGAGCAGCTCCCCCTTGACAAGTACCAGCACTATCAACTCATAATCAAGATTTTATATGCATCGCATCATGGTTCTGACAAAAAAATAAATAAATAATAGTATTGTGTATAAAAAGTTGTTAATAAAAATGAAATATACAAGTGATTCATCAAAATAAAACAGAATAAATATTATTTCATCAATGATAAGGCCTCTATATATAATTATTTACATTCAATAGTCAAGTCAAAATCAAAGTAGCAGTTATCATCCAGCTCACGTATTAATGAAAACTGATTAATAATTTGCTTACTTGTATAATTTAGGAATTATTATATATGTTTCATCATAGCAAACATATCCCAAGATCATAGTTTATACTATTTCTTTTTACAATATAATATTAATATTTAATACTTTTTCTTGTTTATTAAAAAATTAGGAAGTTTGAACACAAAATACAACAATCTTTGACGGGGAGAATTAAAGTTCAAGCCAAAATTGTAATTCACTCATTTAATAAACATTTATCTATCACATATAGAATTAAGTTCATACCACAACTGTTATACTAACTTATAACTGAGGAGATAAAAATTATACGATGGAAGTTTTTTTTTTTTTTTTTTTTTTTTTTTTTTTTTGGCTTAAAAATTCAAACTAGCCTTTTAAGATTAGGGAAAACCTTAGAAAAACCCATCATATTTTCACCAAATGCTTAAAAAAACCACTATATTATTTTTTAGTACACTAAAACCCGTATATTTTCTAAAATTCTTATTTAATGTTTTCCGAGCTTAGAAAAACCTATTCTATTTTCATGAAAGGATTAAAAAAAAAACCATTATATTATTTTTTTAGTGCATTTAAACCCTCATATTTTTAAATTTTTTTTTAATCTAATGAATTGTAACAATAGAAACGTTGAGAATCGAGTACCTAACATTTTTTGCTATCTAGGATTTACCGAGCTTAATGCCTTAAATGATACATTCTAAAAAATATAAGGGTTTTAACGTACAAAAAAATAATATCGTGGTTTTTTTAAGATTTTGATGAAAATATGCTGGGTTTTTATAAGATTATCCCTTAAGATTATTAGCTATTTAATTTAATTTGTTTTGTTATTATTGAAAATGTTGGATGTCCTTATTGAAAATTATCACTCAAAAGCGGCTAGAGTTTTATTGACCAAAATAATTAATATTTACAATGAAAGGAAAAAAAGATTATACATAATAAATAATAACACAAATCTCTACAAGAAAAATGACTAAACTAAATGGGCAAAATAAAAGATC